TAGTAGCGCACTCGCCTTGAGCTGAAGAGCTGAGGGACAGCACCCAGGCCCAGAGTTCAAGCTCCACGACTGACTAAAAAAGAAAGTTAACTGTGGGAATCTATTAATGCTGAGCTGATCAAGAGAACTGTAATGCCCTTCTCTGACTCTCAGAAAGATGGGAGTGCCCTGAGAAAGAGCCATTGCTTCTAGCATTACAGAGACCCAAGATTCCGCCCTAAATGTGAGCTCATCAGAACCCACACTGGCGTGGACCTTGGAGTTAGAGAAAGGCTTGTACGAATTGCGGTGTTTGCTGCTTGCCTCCGCTTCCTCAGATAAGGAAATCACTCATCCTAGGACTGTTTCACATGCTGGTGTCTGTGACTTCAGAGTTTGCTACCTTACTTTCTGCACCAACTCCCCTGTCCCAAAATCAGTAAGGACCCTGTTGATGGGATGTGGGGGCATCTGTTGCTGGCGAGGCACAGGCCCCCTGGTGCCCCCAAACCAGTTTCACGGTCCGGTTTCCCTCATTGCCTTGTTCTTGATCATGGCAGATTAAGGTGCTTGTGTCAGTTTGCAATGTTAAATTAAATCTTTGGCACAAAGGTCCTTAGGATGGAATGAGTCAAAATAATTGAGACAGCTAGTATGGCTGCACTACAGTGAAAACTCACTCAGTGCTGCAGAATTGTGCATTTAAAGATAGAGAGAATGAAGCCCAGCCGGGCACCGGTGGCTCAGGCCTGTAAGCTCAGCTACTCAGGAGGCTGAGATCTGAGCATTGTGGTTCAAAGCCAGCCTGGGCAGGAAAGTCCATGAGACTCCTATCTCTAATAAACCACCATAAAAGCCAGAAGTGGCACTGTGGCTGAAGTGGTAGAGCGCTTGATCTGAGCTGAAGAGCTGAGGGATAGTGCCTAGGCCCAGAGTTCAAGCCCCACGACCAACAACAAAAAAAAAGGGAGAATGAAGCCCAGTACTGGTAGCTCATTCCTGTAATCTTAGCTATTCAAAGTTCAAAACCAGCCTTGGAAGACAAAGCCAAGAACTTTTATTTCCAACAAACCAGAAAAAAGCAGAAGTGGGGGCATGGCTCAAGTGGTCAAGGGCTGGCCTTGAGTGAAAAAAGCCAAGCGAACTCAAGAGGCCCTGAGTTCAAGCCCACGTACCAGTATAAAACAAAACCCACCGAAGTAAACATCAGAAGCAGCAGCTTAGAAACAGACATGGGCAGCCGCTGTGGGGTGGGCCTGGGTAGAAAGGAGAAAACCAGGAGACTGCTGATTTCCAAGATTCGTTTATAAGCACCACGTGACCAATCACGTGTAGGTGTTATGGGAAAAATAAACTAGCTTAAAATTCAAAGGGGGAGAAGCTATAAAAATGTCACTTTGGCTACATTGCCAATAGCCAGAAGGGGACAGAGGATGAATTGTGACAAAGGAAAGGGCTAAGGACTGTGGATGAGCCCTGGCAGGGAGCAAGGGTCAGCACTCAGGACAGCAGGCCAGGCAGTGGCTGAGGAGGGACCGGAAGTGCAGGTGCAGCCTCGTGGGGCTGGGGCTCCTCTGTAGCCCCGGTGACTTCCGCTGTCTGCAGTTCTGAACACAGTCTGCACGCAGTCCGCTCCAGTCTGCACGCAGGCCTGCATGGCTTCCCCTGGGTCATGAGCGCCCGGTGGCACCAAGAGACCAGAAGGCCTTGATTTCGAGCTCCAATAGTAGTGCATGAGCACACACACACACACACACACACACACACACACACACACACACACACACACACACAGCTGGTCACTTTCTCAGGATAGTGATGGAGCACATATGAATGATCCTGTATTTCATCAGCAAATTTCTTATGACACTTCTCCCTCCTTTATCTGGCAAAAAGCATCCCTGCTAATTATTATCAACATAATATCATAATCCTTGCTACTGATAAATTCAAATTAACACAAGCTTAACCTGTGCTCTTTCAAGTGTACCTCCACATGATAAAACCCTATCATAGTTAGAAGACACTTTACAGTACGAAATAGCATAGTCAAAAACTAGTAATAGTGGAAGAAAGGGCCACGCTTAGTGTTACATACCTGTAATCCCAGCTACTTAGGAGGCAGAAGTAGGAGGATCACACACAGTCTGACATGCAACTGTATTTGCAAAACAAACCTAGGGGGCTGGGAATGAGGCTTGTGGTAGAATGCTTGCATTGAGCAAAAGAAGCTCAGGGACAGTGCCCAGGCCTGAGTTCAAGCCCCAGGACTGGCAAAAAACAAAAACAAAAGCCTAGGGTAAAGCTGAAGTGGTAGGGTGCTTGCCTTGCAAGCATGAAGCCTCATGTTCAATCCCAAAGTGGGGGGAGGGAGTCAGTTACTGGCAGTAAGTCAAACTGTAACCTTAGGAAAATCATTTACAGTAATGTTTCTGGCTGAACACCCTCTTGTCCCCTAAAGCAACTGAGATACTCCACTTCGATGATTGTCAAATGCACTGCATGTGGTCATTTAGTGTCAGAGACAAATTCCCAGCTAACAGAGGTAGACGTATTTGGGTTCTCTTTAAACCCTGGAAGTGCTGAGCACTGGTGGCTCATGCCTGTAATCCTAGCTACAAAGGAGGCTGAGATCTGACGATCCTGGTTCAAAGATAGCCCAGGAAGGAGAGTTCATGAATCTTCAATTAACCATTAAAAAGCCAGACGTGGAACTGTGGCTCAAGCGACAGAGTGCTAGTCTTAAGCAAAACCTAAAAGGCCACTGGAGAAACAAGAGCCTGAGTTCAAGCCCCAGTAATGACAGGAAAGAAAAACAACCAACTGCTGCTGACTCACACCGGTGATCCTTACTACTCAGAAGGCTGAGGTGTAAAGGTCACAGTTCAAAGCTGGGCAGGAAGTTCATGAGACTATAATCTCCAGTTAGCCACCAAAAAGCTGGAATTGGAGCTGTGTATGGCTTTAGCCTTGAGCAAAACTATCCAAAGGACAGCACCCAGGCCCTGAGTTCAAGCCCCAGGACTAGCACATAAAAGCAAACCCTGGAGGTGAATACTGCAGGCAGTAGGATGATTGACTGCCCCATGCAGCAAAAATGGGTGGCTCGCGATGGCCTTGTTCTTGCCAGGTACCTGTCGTCCAGCTCTAGCCTGGATAGCACGGCTATTGTGCCCAAGCACAGGAGGGGCTGGGACGCCGAGCACGGCTGAGAACTGCTCTCTGCTGTGAGCACCTAGCACCTCCCGACCAACCCCTAGGCAGGAAGGCCGCCCTGCATGCTGGCCACCACAGCCGCGCCCCCTGCCGGATGATCAGAGAAAGAGCAGGAGGCAAATCAGTTTGCATGGCTTTGGAGGGAGAGAGGGGTTGGCTATGCACCAGGCATCACAGGGGTGGATGGGGGAGGACAGGTGGAGGAAACTGGGGGGGTTCTTCCACCGAAGCTAGGGAAGGGGCTTCCAAGCCAGCTGGTCACACCCACGCATGACCTGACCTCAGTTCTACTACACTTGACTCACAGAACCGCCCAGAAAATGTCTCCCCTTCTGCCACACTGCCAGATGCCCGCCCAGCTCCTAGACCCTGTGCTGGACACACAGGACCCCTCGGCTGACAGCACAGCCTCCTTCCTACAGGAGCCTATGCAGGCTTGGCCTACAGCAGGCACAAGCGGGCCGGGAGTGCAGTTCATGCGCTGAAAACCTTTACCTTGGCAGGAGCTGCTCTCCACGCAGCTATAAGCTGCAGCCAGTGACAGCCAGCCCTTGGTCTCTGTACAGTGCAGCTCTACTTCCTTCCTTTTGAATCCTACCTCTGGAGGAGGGTGACAGCCGAGGGAGCAGTCCTGGGCCTCTTGGGAAGGAAATGGAGCTCAAGAAGGCTTCAAGGAAGTGGTCATCATGTGAAGGTGGCCTTCCTCCTGCCTCTGCAGCCCTAAGGAGGCATTTCCTTTTCTTGTGGCAGTACTAGGGCTTGAACTCATGGCCTCACACACTTGCTTAGCTTTTTCGCTCAAAGCTGGAACTCTATCATTTGAGTCACATTTTAGCTTCTGCATTTTGCTGGTTTACTTCAGATGAGTCTCTTTGACTGGCTCCAAACCATGATCTGTGGATCTCAGCCTCTTGAGTAGCTAGGATTACAGGCATGAGCCACTGGTGCTCAGCTAGGGATACACGTCTAAGCATGCTATCTGGCCCCTATGGATGACAGAGAGCTACCTTCAGAGGGATACATCTGGGACAGGAGGGACTTCCTTCCCGTGGGTCACTGCGAAGCCCTCCCACTGGCTCTTCACACTGGGAGGGAGAAGCCCTGTAGAAGTCTTACAAGGCACCGTAGTAGCTGAGCTTGGGAAGCTAAGGCTTAAGTCCAAGGCAAGCCTGGGCTAAACAGGGATTTCCTAGCCATCCTGGAATAAAAAGTGAGACCCTGACTCAAAAAACAGTGCAGTTGGATGCTGGTGGCTCATCCCTGTAATCCTAGGTACTCAGGAGGCTGAGATCTGAGGATCACAGATCAAAACCTAGGCACGAAAGTCCATGAGACTCTTATCTTCAATTAATCACCAGAAAACCAGAAGTGGAGCTGTGGCTCAAAGTGATAGCGTGCTAGTCCTGAGCAAAAGAGTTCAGGGACAGTGCACAGGCCCTGAGTTCAACTGACAGGAAACAAAGAAAAACCCAGTGTGAACTCTGCTGGGGATGCATCTCAGTGTAGAACTCGCCTTGCATGTGCAAGACCCTGGGCTCAATCCCAATACCGTCAGAGAAACAATACCAAAAATACCACACCTCAGTGACCAGGCCAAGCCTTCATCCACCTGAGTCAGCAGCTGGGCATCCTCCTCTGGCCTTGCCCACCTCCACCTGGCCTGAAGACACACCCTGTGCCACGCCCTCACACCTGTCTCCCGGAGAAGTGGAGTGCAGCCTCCTGCAATTCTCATGGCAATTTTAGTGGTCGGGTAGGAGAGCCAATGCTAGTCACCCCCAAGCAGATCAACCATTCACACGCCATTCGCTGAGCTGGCAGTTTATTTTTAAAAAGGACACCCCAGCTACCACATTCTCTTCTTTGTCCATCATTTTTCTGCATAGAAGAAGTTACAAAAACAATTGGGGGAGGCGGGGAGAGGCTATAGCATCTTTGCCAAGTGACTAACACACTTCAGACGGGCCACGAAGAAGACAACGCCAGAAAGAATTGTGTCCACACATGAATTGTTACAGCGTGGGGTTGTGAAGGTCACAACGGGACAATCTCACGCAAAGAGCACACGCTGAGTTGGCCTGCTCGTGGCGGGCAGCGGCCAGGCAGGCAGGCGGGCGGGCGGCTGTGGCACACGGCGTGGTAAGGCTCTTCCAAAGGCAGTGGGTCTCTGCCCCGCAGCCCGCGGTGTCTCACTTGGAGTCCTGGTCCTTCTCGTCAAGGAGGGCGGAGCGGATCCCCAGCTTTTTCAGCTCTTCCACCAGGTCCCCGTTCTGGTGCATCTGCAGAAGAATGTCGCAGCCCCCCACAAACTCGCCGTTGAGGTACACTTGTGGGATGGTGGGCCAGTTGGAGTAATCTTTAATGCCTGTGGAGGGACAGTGGAGCGTTACGCAAATGACCAGCCATGGTGCTCACCCCTGCCCACACCCAGAAGAAGCCCCAGCCTCCCCCTTGGCTCCAACCCCACCACAGGTGCATCTCACTATCAAGGGACCACACGGGAAGCCCTGGACAGGCCACCCTCTCTCCAAGCCCACCCACTTCCACCTCCGGAGGCTTTTTAGGAGACGTGGTGCAGGGTTGGGCGCCGGTGGCTCACACCTGGGATCCTAGCTGCTCAGAAGGCTGAGACCTGAAGACCAAGGTTCAAAGCCAGCCCAGGCAAGAAAGTCCATGAGACCCCTATCTCCAATTAACAAGTAAAAAGCCAGACGTGGAGCTGTGGCTCAAGTGGTAGAACACCAGCCTTGAGTGAAAAAGTTCAGGGCCGCACCCAGGCCCTGAGTTCAAGCCCCAATACTGGCACTGGGAAAAAGAAAGGGGGCTGGGGGAGAGAAGGGGAATAGATGATGAATGGAAATACACAATGAACCCCTCCTTGAACAACCACTTTATGTGAATGTGCACTTTGCTTAAATAACAGAGCTAGAGAAAGCCAGGAGTCACAGGCTTTAACTTCCCCTGACATCACAACCCAGCCAGAACCAAGTGGCCACGAGCTGGGCGTGGTAGCTCACACCTGTAGTCCTCTAGCAAGCAGGGGAACTGTGAGTTCTTGGGCAGCCTCGGCTGCACAGAGCTCTGTGCAGCAAAAAATAAAAAAGATCCCCAATGGGCTTTGGAAAAGCCCGCTTCTCAGTCACGCGCATGTCTACCAAAAATCAATCATCAATCAGCTAGATATTCAAGAACTTCTAATCCCTGAGGGTGTATTTACAGGACTAAGTATGTAGGCACCCAGAGTCAAGTCTGTCATCCTAGTAAAAGCAGGCCAGCACAGGAGCTGTCTGGCTTGGGTTTGTCCTCATTTTTAACTCTGCGCTCAAATGCAGCCCGTGGGAACTTCCTTTACGACAATGCGGGCAGCAAGGCTCTCTCCTGGGATGATTAAGCGTCTAAGTTATCAGGAGCGCCCTTAATTCTCCTAAGCTTCCTGACACACCTTTTTACACAGAGAAACCATTCATGTGTGTGATGTAAAAGCAGCCTTTTCAATCTTTCCCAACAGATTTTTACCCGTTGCTTTTGATGAGGGTCTACATTCGTGAAACACACTGAACCTCAAAATAAACTGCCCCCTGCAGGCCAGCCAAACCACGAGCCTCAGTCTTCTTGTTGGCAAAAGGCGACTAGCATCCTGTCACAGAGTTACTGCTCCCCGAAAGCTGCCAGCACAGGGCTAGGGCCAGGTGGCCGCTCTCTCAGTGCTAACATCTCTACCTGACTCCACAGAGGAGCTTTGTGGAGGAACAGGTGAAGCGTGGGGACAGAGCGCAGGGCAGCTCGGGCTAGGGTGCGATCATGGGACACCACCGGGGGAGCTCAGGCTTTCACACAGGGTGGTTTGTTTTTGTTTTTGTTTTGTCAGTTGTGGGGCCTGAACTCAGCTCTTTAGCTCAAGGCTAGCGCTCCACCACTTGAGTCACAGCGCCACTTCCGGCTTTTTCTGCTTATGGGGTACTGAGGAATCAAACCCAAGGCCTCATGCTCGTGAGGTAAGCACTCTGCCACTGAGCCACCTTCTCAGTCTTGTGTTTTTTGATGTGCTTGTCCTGGGGCTTGAACTCAGGACCTGGGTGCGGTCCCTGAGTTTTTTCACTCAGGGTTAGTGTTCTACCACTTGAGCCACAGCTCCACTTCCTCTTCCTACTTTTGTAAACAAAATTTTATTGGTTCTTAGCATGCTCAGACATCTAAGAGTGCCTTTACCCGACAGGAGAACGGACTCGAGGGAGGGGGTCTCAGAGCCCACCCAGGCTGAGGGATTTCCTCCCTGCCCTCCAGAGGAAGCCTGCCTGCTCCGCTCTCAGCCAAGTTCCAGGAAAGAGGGCAACAGCAGCCTCGGCCCTGATCAAGTACAGGTGCCATTTCATTCTCACAGACAGCATGGCGATCCACCAGGCAGGCACAGAGGCTCGGCCGCCTTCAGCGCTCGCAGCAGGCTATACTACATGAACGCTCCTGATGCTCAGGAGGCTCAGCTTATTTCCAAATCTTAATATTCGCCCAGCACTGGTGACGGTGACTCACACCTAAAACCCTAACTACTCGGGAGGCTGAGACCTGAGATCATAGTTCAAAACCAGCTCAGGCAGCAGTCTGTCAGACCCTTATCTCCCATTATTCAGCAAAAAAGCTAAAAATGGAGGCTGGCTCAAGTGGTGGAGCACCAGCCAGCCCGGAATAAATAGGCTAAGGGAGAGCACAAGGCCATGTACTGAAATATGAGAGGCGGGGAGGAGAGGGGAGAGAGAGCCAGACAGACAGACACAAAAGAATATGTGAATGGTGCTTTGAATATGAAGAGGCCAGTGGGCAGGTACAGGGAAGAGCTGGCTATGAGGAACAGCTTCCAATACTCTACAATTGGAAAGATAACAATGATCAGCAGCTAGTAGAGGGTTTCCGCAAGCTCCTAGCAAAGGCTGAGGTAAGGGGCCACATAAGGTGCAGCCAGTGCACACACAGTAAACTGTCCCTGCTGCTACAGCCACTGAAGGCCTGCTTTGCAGAAGCAGACTTCAGTGGGCTGGTTGCGTAAGACACATTCCTGGTTCTCTGTAGGGCAAAGGCTAAGTGTGCACTAACAGGTCTGGAGACTGCAGCCCAGAAACAAAGGTGGCTGTGAGGCGGCACTGAGCTCTGAACAGACAAGGCCGCTTCACGTTTCCCAGACCCCAGGAGACAGCGCGGTCCCAGGGGCTGGGCCCTCTGCCCCGTCAGGCTGTCTCTGCAGGAGCCTGGCTGCGGGTCCCAGTGACCCTGCAGGAGGGGAAGGCGAGATAGCCACGCAGCTGGAGCAGCCTCGCAGGCTGGCAGCCTCTCTCAGCAAGAGTGCGGTTCACGGGAGTGCGGTCAGGTCCTCACCTGTCCCAACAAGGGAGGCCCCCAAGTGGGAAAGGCTTACTTCACCTCGCTCCAGGCTGACTTAGCACATGCCACTAACTGTGTGTGTGTGTGTGTGTGTGTGTGCACATGCCACTAACTGTGTGTGTGTGTGTGTGTGTGTGTGTGTGTGTGTGTGTGTACGGGGGACTTGAATTCAGAGCCTGGGTGTGTGTGTGTGTGTGTGTGTGTGTGTGTGTGTGTGTGTGTGTGTGTGTGTGTGTGTGTGTGTGTGTGTGTACGGGGGACTTGAATTCAGAGCCTGGGTGCTGTCCTTAGCTTTTTTGTTCAAGGTTGGTACTTTACCAATTGGGCCAGAGCTCCACTTCCAACCTTCTGGTGATTGATTGTAGATAAAAGTTTCATAGACTTTTCAAACTGATGCTCAGATCTTAGCCTTCTGGGTAGCTAGGATCACAGGTGTGAGTCACTATGTCTGACATATCTAATTATTTATTCAACACATTTATTAACCAAAATGACAATCCAGTGAAATCTTCAAGTTAAGAAACAGGTTCTTTCCACTGTTATGTGAACACTTAGGTTTTGAGATCAAAACTCAAATATGTAAGAGAGAGAACAGGAAGATTCTTGCTATCAGTACTTACTTCCATTCATTTTCAGTTTATTAGCCATATTTTAATATAGCTCATTTCCACTTATACTAAACAGGAGAATGTAAATTCACAAGCCAAAGACTCTCAAAACATCATATTAGGCAAGGTATCAATGACACAACTTTCTGGTGAGGGCTACACAAGCAGACGCTTATCTCTGAAACCAAAAGCTGCCTCTGAAGGGCAGGACCCCTGTGGGCGATAAGCCTGCGCCTAGCAAACAGCGGACTTCTGGTTGATCAGGGAGACCCAGGACCATGAGCATAACACATGGTAATACGGTAAAACCTACAAGCAGTCTGAGTGGCTTTCACTCTGCCACACTTGCCTCTTGGATTCCACCCACCAAAACTACCACAAAGGTGGGAGCCACCATTGCCAAGAGATTGCTAAGCTCTCTATGACTCTTACTGTCTCTTCTCCAAGTTGTTTTTCATCATTTTGACTTTACTGTTAAGAAAAATGCAGTTAGGAGACTTGTCCAAGGGTGTGTCAGGGGCTGGCCACAGGGGATTCTCACTCAAATTTGCTTTCCTTATTAACAGGAGCTTGCCTCAACAATGCCAGCGATATGCACTATGGTCAGACATGGAGAACAGTAAATCTCGACACTCAAGTCTTTCTCTCCAGCACACTGTGACCCAACAGGAGCACTTGTCACCAGGGATATGTGCGGGCCAGTTCCCCCACCCCAGGCCAATGCAGGAGGAAAGGGTGCAGTCTCCCCACTTCTCCACCTATCCCCAAACAACCCAGACCAAGAAGCCTGGTGGGTCCCAGTGCCTTTGACACATTGCAATGCTTCACACATTGCAGGAAAGTTGCTAATTTGCTGCCAGGGCCCTCTCTACTTCCCCCAGGACAGTGGAAGGACACAGGGGCCAGCTACTCCTGGAGATCTGAACTAGATGGCAGTTTGTTAGCTGGTGGGGCAGAAATCCTTGTAGCTTCCTCTCTCCAGCCCAAGCCCCAGGCCCCGGTCTCGTGGCTCCCAGCGCTTGAGGATCCCAAACTAAACAACGTCCTTCCCGTCCCCCTGCTCCTCCAGCCTGACCCCAAATAAGTCCCGCTGGGAATCAGCGTCGACCCCTGCCGAGTGTCTGTAAGCTGAATGGGCCCCAGGTCCTCGGAGCCCGGGATCCCCCGGCCAGCCTCAGACCTCAGTGCCTCGGACCAGGGCAGCGCCCCTCCGCAGCCCGGTCCCCCATCCGCAGAAGCCCTCCAAGTCTTGGGGCACCCTCTCTGCCACACTTGGGCAGCGCACAAGGCGGGGGACTCATGCTACGGATCACGTTTCTCGGACGCTGTCAGAGACAAACGCGCCACAAAGTGAGGGTCGAGGGACGCCTCGGCCCGAGCTGGCCATGGGAACAGGGCCCCGTGGGTCCCTCCCCGCCAAGATGCTGCAGTCCGTTAAGATCCTCCACCGCTGGCACCCCAGACGGGCAGGGGCTCACAGGGCCCCGGCCCGCAGGCCCCGAAACCCCAAGTCCGGCCCACCGGCCCCCGGCCCCCGGGCCCGGCCTCACGCGGCGCCCTCAGCCGTCGGCCGTCGGCCTCCCCGCGGCGGGCTGACCTTGCCGCAGCTCGGGGTCGTCCAGCACGTTGTAGGCCGCGTAGTCGCGGACGCCGTGCAGCCGCAGGATCTGCACCACGGCGTTGCTGAAGCCGCACTGGGGCCGCTCCGGCGTCCCCTTGAGGAAGACCACCACCTTGTCCTTCTTCACCAGCCCGTCCAGCCGCTCCGCCTGGCCGCCGCCCGCGCCCGAGCCCGCCGCCCGCACGCCGGGAGCCAGCGGGACGCCGCCGCCCGCGCCGCGGCCCCAGCGGAGCACGGCCGCTGCCGCCCGGCCCAGCGACCCGTTCATCGCCGCTCGTTCGCCAGCGCCCGGGACGGAACCTCGGTGGCCTCCCGGGGTCCTCTCCCGGCCCACGGCGGCCAGGCCCGTCCGCCCGGGACCTCATTGGACCGGCTCCCGGCTGCTCCCCTGATTGGGCGATCCTGACCCATAGTCACTGGTTTTATCCAATCAGATAGCTGACCCCGCCCAGTAGGTGGAATCGGCCTTAAACGCGCGGGGGGGGGGAGGGGGGCGCCGCCTCCCGCAGTCTTCCCAGGGACGGCGGGCCACCGCTTTGTCAGTTGATTGGAGAGCGTGGATGTCCATCAGAGTCACGCTGCGTGGCAACGAGAAGCTAAACTTCCTTCCCAGAGCCGACAGGGCCTGCTGGGAGACCCGGAGACCTCGGGGAGCGGCGGTGGGCGGGGCTTCTCCCGTTCCGACGAATTCTGGGAAGGGATCACTTCCACGAGGAGCTTCCGCTTCCGGTGTCGGTTCTGCTGGTGCCTCAGCAGCTCGGCGGTGGTGCGAGGAGCGATGGGTCGTGACGGAGGGCGGGGCCCGCCGGCGCCGGTCACCCCAGCCGAGGTGAGCGCCCGGGGGCTCCGGAGGGCCGCGGGCCCACGTACTCCATCGGGGCGGCAGGGAGCCGGGCCGGGCCGGGGGTCCCGCGGTCCTGCCTCCGCGCCGAGCCTCCTGGTCCCGGACCTCCGAGGCCTCGCGCGCACGCGCACCCGGGACCCCGTCCAGCCTTGGCTCCCGCCGCCGGGACGTTCAACGTGCGTGCGTGCGTGCGCGCGCGCGCCCGCCCGTGTGCAGTGCTGTCGCCGGCGCGCTCGCCGGCCTTCCAGCCCGCCTGGCCTCCGTAGAGCGGCGGCGCGTGTCCGCAGCCCCAGCACTCCGGGAAGTTGAGGCCAGATGATGGTCCCAGCCTGGGACGAGGGTTCAGGGCCAGCCTGGGGGACGCAGCGGGACGCCCACACGCCGCCTCAGCAATAAAAAGGGAAATGGGCCCGCTGGCACCCAGCTGTGATCCGAGCCGCTCTGAACCCCGAGATCCGCAGGACCGTGGTGTGAGTCCAGCCCTGGCAGAAAAAATCTGCCGGACCTCATCTCCAGGATTACTAGCCAGAAGTCAGGCCGGGCGGAGGTGTTGGCTCGGGTGGTAGAGCACCAGTCAGAGCTCGCTGGAGGCTTTGCATTGATACCACCGCAAAAAGAAAAGGAGGCCTGGAGGGTGCTTACGGTTACCCTACAAGCCTCAGATTCTTGAGTCCGATCCTCAGCACTCAAAAAGAGACAAAGAAATGGATGGGTTGGTTTCCTGAGCGGCCCTGCTCCCTCAGCGCTAGCAGGGGATCTACAAGGAGACCCAGTTCCAAAGCTGTTGTTCAATGCTGACAATGGGAAGGAGATAGAAGCGCTGTGGGGTAGAGGACGGAAAGAAGGCTTCCTTAGGCCCATTAGGCCTGTCCATCGTATACCCCACTGCTTGACGTGCTGTCTAGCTTGGGAGAGGGTAGGTGCTCGCATTGGTGGACCATGCCTAGTCGTCTGTAGTTTTGGAGCCTGCGCTGGGTTGGCTGTATCCCAGAGCACCCCAGACTTGCAGAAAAAGCATGCACCAGAGGAAGCTGAGGCGTGGCCACTGGAGAGCCTGCAGTGACACGTGCAATTTTCCTCTGATAGTTCTGGGTACTGTTGCCACGGTGATAGTGACTGTCTGTGTCATTATCTATCCACCAACAGTGAGAGGAAGCTGTGCAGTTGAGATATTGTTTAGCAGACCGAGTGGTTTCTGTTGGACACTTAAGTACTGCTACAAACTGCTTTTGTAAAACCTTGAGTCATTTATGAAATACTGCAAAGGTGACCTTTATGTTTGGGCTGTGGTGGGGAGGTGCTCGCATTTAAAGTCAGAAAAATCAACAGGTCAGCAAGCGAGCCTTTAAAGAAATCATTTGAGCCAAGTAAACTGAAAATCAACCCAGAGGGTCTCTTGAGTGTTAATGATTGATACTTGCTAATTATTTCTAATGTGGACCCACAGTTAGAATCTGTTTGCTCTGCAGACCCAGTGATTCCAGTTAAATGAGAGGAGTACAAATCTGAGATGACATCTCTACAATATAGCAGGCACTGTTGCAGAAGGTGAACGTGGAATCTGGTACCCTGCACCGTAAAGAAAACCCTCAGTTCCTTCCCAAGTCACCCAGCTTCTGTCCATCCTTACAGTATAGAAAGACTCCCTTCCTTCCTTCCTTCCTCCCTCCCTCCCTCCCTCCCTCCCTCCCTCCCTCCCTCCCTCCCTCCTTCCCTCCCTCCCTCCCTCCTTCCTTCCTTCTCCTTTTTTCCAGTATTGGGGCTTGAATTCAGGGCCTGGACAGTGTCCCTTAGCTATTTTGTTCAAGGCTAATGCTCTACCACTTGAACTACACTTCTGCTTCTGGCCTTTTGTTGGTTAATTGGAGATAAGAGTCTTTCTTACCTGACTTTCCTACCCATGCTGGCTTCAAACCCTAATAGCTAGGATTACGGGATACTTTTTTCACACAAAATAAATATTGGTGATTTGTTTCTGAAAAGCTACCTGGTCTCTTGTCTATTTGAAATGAGTTCTTTTCCTGTAATGCCAAGGAGGGGGGAAAGAACTTGCAAGGAATATAGAGTAATAATGGTGGTATCATATTTCCTAGCGTTGGGAAATGTTTTATTTAGTTGAGATTATAGCTGTCATTAAAAATCAGAAACAGCTGGGCACTAGTGGCTCTTCCTATGATCCTAGTAGCTACTCAGGAGGCTAAGGTCTGAAGGTCAAGGTTCAAAGCCAGCCCAGGCATGAAAGTCCATGAAACTTATCTCCAGTTAACCACCAAAAGGCTGGAAGTAGAGCTGTGGTTCAAATGGTGGAGTGCTAGTCTTGAGCAAAAAAAATATTCAGGGACAACAGCCAGGCCCTGAGTTCAAGCCCTGGGACTGGCAAAAAATAAAAACAGTATTTTCCTGTGCCAGGGACAGTACCCAGGGCCTTGTACTTACCAGGCAAATGCTTTGTCACTAAGCCTGTCCCCAGCCCTAGCAGAGGTTCTAAGAGAATAAAGAAAACATTTAAACTTATTTCTTCAAAAACATCTAAATTTTGCATATGATAAAGTTTTTCTTTAAAAATCTTTTTTTTTTTTTTTTTGGTCAGTTGTGGGACTTGAACTCTGGGCCTGGGCGCTGTCCCTCAGCTCTTCAGCTCAAGGCCAGCACTCTACCACTTGAGCCACAGCGCCACTTCGGCTTTTTCTTCTTTTTGCTTATGTGGTGCTGGAGAATCGAGCCCAGGGCCTCAGGCATGCAAGGCAAGCACTCTACCACTGAGCCACCTTCCCAGCCCTCTTTAGAAATCCTTATAGGACAGCAGGGTGCCAGTGGCTCATGCCTGTAATCCTAGCTTCTCAGGAGGCTGAGATCTGAGGATCATGGTTCAAAGCCAGCCTGGGCAGGAAAGCCCATGGAACTCTATCTCCAATAAACCAGTAGGAAACTGGAAGTGGAGCTGTGGCTCAAGTGGTAGAGCGCTCGCCTTGTGCTGAAGAGCTCAAGGACAGCGCCCAAGCCCAGAGTTCAAGCCCCACGACTGACCAAAAAAAAAAATCTTTACAGGACAAAAATACCCTTGATAAGTGGTGAGAAATCTTCCCATAGCCTCTAGTTTGGGGGTTTTTGCAGTAGAGAGGGTGTGAACTTGGGACCTCACACTTGCTTGTCTGGCACTTGACCATTTAATCCACATCTCCAGCCCAGATTTTTTGTTGTTATTTTGGAGATGAAGTCTAGCAAACTTTTTCTTTGTGGGCTGGCTTTGAGCTCCTATCTAATGGATCTCATCTTTCTGAGTAGCTAGAATTACAGGCTTGAGCCACAGGCTCTCATCATTTTGAATTTATTAATAAAAGTGTATAGCAATTTGTGATCTTTCCCTGTAGATATTTATCGGGGCTGTAGGGGAAGGATCATAGGAATTTGTAAGAATCCTAGAATTTAGGTCACAAAATATAATTAACCCAACCCAATCACACCATGTAACTATACAATGACCCCAGCATCCTAAAAATGTTTTTCCTGCCTGTGCATATGTACAGAAAAGGCTTCGGTTAAAATCCTCGTTCCCACCCTCGTTTCCAAAAGCAAATTCATCAGGGAAGCTGCAGTACAACAACCTGATAAATGTGAGCCTGCCTCTTCCCATGCCGGAGGAGGACAGGTTGCCCTTCCCTATCTTTTCCTCAACAAGGACCAGTATTGAGATGGAAGAGCCTTCCTGGGATTCAGTGTCTTTCCCTGCTGGCCAGATTTCTGCAAGTGTCCTAAGAGAAAAGTGGCTGCTTAGATCACACAGTCGCTGAGCTGCCAGGCATTCCTGAGCTAAAATAATGTTGAAGACCCAGAGTTCCAAGGTCTCAAGCTGGAACCTGAAACCTTTCTCCTTGGGTCCTTTAGAGTGTCACCACCAACCATGGGATTGACTTGATTCACAGACTCCACCAGAAATAATGCACTGTGGGAGAAACCAGCCAAGGCCCAGCCTAGAACCAGAAGTATGATTTTGACTTTGCCTGCCTCTCCCTCATAAAGCTGCTTTTTTTTTGGGGGGGGGGGGGGGGGGAAGCGGCAGGGTGCTCGTTGGGAGATTTGTATATTTGTATTCTCTTAGGTCTAGACTGCCTGGCCCTTCTGTACCACCACCACCCCATCATGCACAGGGAACAGGCTAGGAAGGCCTGAACGTCAGAGTCAGGGAAGGTGGCCTGGCTAGGCCTGCCTTCCCACACCTAGGCGGGCCTCCCCATGTGGGCAGCAGCAGTGGCCCTTCCTTCCAGGAGGGGGAGGTGAGTTCAGGGCAGGTCTTACCATGTAGCAAGATCCTGTCTTGAGAGAGTGAAGAAGGGAAGGAAGGTCTCTAGGTAATGGTTTTCTGACACTTTGAAACTGTATTCGCTTTCTAATATTCATAATTCTCAATAGGTTTTAATGCTTGGTTGCCTTTTTATATTTCTGTTGTTGATGTCTGACCAGTACCAGAGTTTGAATTCAGGTCCTCATTCTCTTTTCACTAGCTCAGGTGGCACGCTGCCCTTTGAGCCACCCCTCCAGCCCTGCTTTTTACCAGTCAGTTGGAGATTGAGTCCTGGATTTTTTTTTTTTTTTGCCTTAGCTGACTTTGTTTCTCATGTTAGCCTCCTTGAGTAACTCAGATTACAGGTATAAGTTACTATGCACAGCTTCCTTTAAACATAGTGCTCTCCTCACAGGCAGTTTTTTTTTTTGGGGGGGGGGTCTGGTCGTGGGGCCTGAACTCTGGGCCTGGGCGCTGTCCCTCAGCTCTTCAGCTCAAGGCTAGCACTCTACCACTTGAGCCACAGCACCACTTCCGACTTTTATCTTATGTGGTGCTGAGGAATTGAACCCAGGGCCTCGAGCATGCAAGGCAAGCGCTCTACCACTGAGCCACCTTCCCAGCCCCTCACAGGCAGTTTTAACCACTGCAAGGAATCACTATTACCAGAAAGTTAAATATCTGAATAGTGGCTCTGTGCATATGTGTGTATAGATACAGATATAGATTGTTAGGCTTTGTAAAATTATGATGACAACTGTAGTCCAGAGATCCAGTGAAGTCGTGGAATCCATAGTTTTCACCTTGGAGCCTCTCATTGCCCTCGTGCTCCGTTCTCCCACCGAGGCCCAGAATCCTTCACTGTACGCCTTTAACATTGTGCATCTGCTGGACTGGATTCTTCTGGGAACTTTATTTTTATTCCAAGGAACAAAGCCTGATCAGGGGTGTACATTGAGTGTTAAACGTGATTTGTTCAGCATTTTGATTCTAGGACATGTTGGCTTTTCCTCCACTGCGCAGTTCACAAAAGATGTTAGTTTTGCACTGGGTGTTGCTTTTATCAACAGATAGTTTCTGTGACTACTATTACATTACAGCGACTTCTGACAAAGTGCCTGGAGCCTGAAAGCCTAGGTCTGGCTGTCTTGGAAGCTCTATTTGCTTGCTTTGGAACCATCCATCTCTACATTGCCCTGCTTTTAAATACCCTTTGCGATTAGTTGGAATTTCACTCTGAACTTATGAAACCTCTGAGCCTTAGTAATTCCCTGCCTTCAAATCTCAACGGCCAGGTGTCAGTGGCTTGTGCCTGTAATCCTAGCTCCTTGAGAGGTTACGATCCAAAGATCGAGGTTCAGTGACAGCCTGGGTAGAAAAGTCCACAAAGTTCCATCTCCAATTAACAACAAAATGCTAGATGGAGGTGTGACTTAAGTGGAGCGCCATCCCGGCAAGCATGAGGCCTTGAGTTCACACTCGAGTGCTGCCAAAATAAATTCAGTCATTAAAAAAGATTGTACCTGACATGTAACTGTAACCCCTTTGCATATTACCTTTATAATACAATGAAAAAGCTAAAAAAAAAAAATCTCGCTATCGTGGGACTCATCACCTCAAAGGTCAATGATTCATGTAGTAAAAACAGCCCAGTTTTGCCAAGAAAGGTGGTTTGGGTCAGATATGGAGAGACTGACCAGAAGTAGAGCCTAGTGATAGCAAATGAAAGGCTTTCAAAGAGTTGTGACAGGGGCTGGGACTGTGGCTCAGTGATAGAATGCTTGCCTAGCATGCATGAAGCCCTGGGTTCAATTCCTCAGTACCACATAAGCAGAAAAAGCTGTGGCTCAAGTGGTAGAGCACTAGACTTGAGCAAAAGAAGCTCAGGGACAGCGCCCAGGCCCTGAGTTCAGGCCCCAGGCAAAACATACAAAGGGTTGTG